ATTTTTTTTAATTGTTTACATTTCCGGTTTCCATTTCTATTCTTGCTTCATTAGCTTTCTCTAAGACGCCATTAGTGATGGCCGGGTGCCATATATCATTAGAATCATGCCCTCTCCTATGTTTGTCTACTCCCTGCCAACCCCTTTGCCTCTCCTCCATGTCCCAACCTCCCTGCCCACCTTCCTTGTACCACCTCCCCCCTACCCACCTCTCTGCCCATCTTACTTGTACCACCTCCACCCTACCCACCTCCCTACCCACCTTCCTTGTACCGCCTCTACCCTACCCACCTCCCTGACTTCTCCCTCTCTCCAGTTGAACCAAACCTAACACACCGTCATAGATCACGTAATCAACTGTAGCACTGATCTCTTTCAAGTTTTCTTTTGTTGCTAATGTGGCAGGATATAATTTCCTGGTTGGAAATTTTCCAGCATCGCCACAATATATCTAAATATATTGAACACCATTCCACAGACATCGTACTTTAATGGCCCATGCACCAAGTTGATGCACCTTAATCCCAATGCACTCAGATATTGCACCTTAATCCCAATGTATTCAGATATTGCACCTTAATCCCAATGTATTCAGATTTTGCACCTTAATCCCAATTCACTCGGATATTGCACCTTAATCCCAATGCACTCAGATATTGCACCTTAATCCCAATGCACTCAGATATTGCACCTTAATCCCAATGCACTCAGATATTGCACCTTAATCCCAATGCACTCAGATATTGCACCTTAATCCCAATGCACTCAGATATTGCACCTTAATCCCAATGCACTCAGATATTGCACCTAATCCCAATGCACTCAGATATTGCACCTTAATCCCAATGCACTCAGATATTGCACCTTAATCCCAATGCACTCAGATATTGCACCTTAATCCGAATGCACTCAGATATTGCACCTTAATCCCAATGCACTCAGATATTGCACCTTAATCCCAATGCACTCAGATGTTGCACCTTAATCCCAATGTACTCAGATATTGCACCTTAATCCCAATGCACTCAGATATTGCACCTTAATCCCAATGTATTCAGATATTGCACCTTAATCCCAATGCACTCGGATATTGCACCTTAATCCCAATGCACTCAGATATTTCACCTTAATCCCAATGCGTTCAGATATTGCACCTTAATCCCAATGCACTCAGATATTGCACCTAATCCTAATGCACTCAGATATTGCACCTTAATCCCAATGCACTCAGATATTGCACCTTAATCCCAATGGACTCAGATATTGCACCTTAATCCCAATGCACTCAGATATTGCACCTAATCCCAATGCACTCAGATATTGCACCTTAATCCCAATGCACTCAGATATTGCACCTTAATCCCAATGCACTCAGATATTGCACCTAATCCCAATGCACTCAGATATTGAACTTTAATCCCAATGCACTCAGATATTGCACCTAATCCCAATGCACTCAGATATTGCACCTTAATCCCAATGCACTCAGATATTGCACCTTAATCCCAATGCACTCAGATATTGAACCTTAATCCCAATGCACTCAGATATTGCACCTAATCCCAATGCACTCAGATATTTCACCTTAATCCCAATGCACTCAGATATTGCACCTTAATCCCAATGCACTCAGATATTGAACCTTAATCCCAATGCACTCAGATATTGCACCTTAATTCCTGTTTAATGTTTCATTCAGCCAACACTCACAGGAGCTGTATGTATCATTATTTTTAGCGCAATTTCCATACTAGACAATTGCGATTATTAACTCGTCATTTCTGGTGATGGATGGATGGATGTGTGTCCGCAGCTTTAAGTCGTATCTCCTCCTCAACGAAGCAATATCGAGGACTAGTTCCAAATATGTTAAGCAAGTTCAGAGGATGATTGTGGGCCAAAAAATTCCCGGAATTCCTTCCTGGATTTCCCGGAAAAGCCAAAAAAAAATCGAAAAAAAAAATGCAGTTTTTGGCCCATATCTCGGCAACCAGACCACTTAGCGACTTGAAACATTTACCAATCGATTCCTGCCATAATTTAGAACAATATTGCCGAAGAAAGTTTTCAAAAATATCCTTTCGTTCGGTCACAAAAAATTAATTAAGAACATTTAAACTGAGCATCGTGTAGGCCTAGGATGATCTTTTTTTTTTAAACTGATCATCGTGTAGGCCTACTCGTTAAAATAAAACTATTTCCGTTGATATAGGTTGATATAGTTGTCTTTTTTTAGCGCAAAAAAATATCCTCTCGTTCGGTCACAAAAAATTAAAAATTGTTATAACATAAGGATAACATAAGGAAATTACGCTTAGATTGTCACTAGACTTTTTATTAACTTGTTTTATATTATTTTATGAGCAGAAACCCTGGTGGCAAAGGTTATCGAATAAAAAACATTGCAAAGTATGATGTTTGTGTTCTGTATATGTGGTAAAAGTTTGTGTTATAAGCGGTGTTGTCATTTAGTGTTATACAATATGTGCACGATCCTTTTCAGTGGCACACATTGTATATTTGTTATTTATAGCCAATTGTCTTTATATGTATCACATGCACACTGCTTTATGCATTAGGAGTGATATTAGATTTAGTGGGGTTTTTTTCAGAGGTCTTTTAGTTGACCAAACTAATGGCACAGACCCAGCTTAACGAAAGACTTTAAACCATGTTTTTGTGCACTTTATTTTTACTTTGCTGTAAACAGAATTTACGACTAAAGATAACATATTTTAAGCAATGTAATATTTTAGTGACCAATGTCAAGCAATGTTATTAAATTGGTAAATGCACAGAACGTGAAAATACTTTTTGATTAAGGCATTTCTATCGCCATATAAAGACATTGACCCTGATGTTACCCTGATATTTCACATTCGTGAAATTAAATTTGATTGGCTATTATTTAAACAGGCCCACCACTATTTTCTTACATCAGCCCCTCTCACTTCCGGTAAATATTTATAAGTGCTACAGTCACATAACCATTATGGTCTTCTTCTAACTTAATAAAAACAAGAGGGATTAATACGGCCAGTGTAGGAGATTCCTAACATGCACGCATCAAGTTGATATAAACGCATGTTCCAACATCACTGCACAATTTTTGTAAATATTTGATCTTTCACGTGAGAAATATCAGGGTGGATGCTATAAGAAATGTTTACATCAAACATAAAATTACACGCAATATTTCTTTTAAAATGTAAATATTGAAAGAATGATCTAGAACTTTTAGAATTATTTTGATCGTGTGACCAAGGTGTAGATAATGTTGGCACGGAATTCATGATGGCTGACATAGTCATAGTTCTACTCATCTAGAAATGTGATATTTATATCTGCACATCTAGAAATGTGATATTTATATCTGCACATCTAGAAATGTGATATTTATATCTGCACATCTAGAAATGTGATATTTATATCGGCACATCTAGAGATGTGATATTTATATCTACTCATCTAGAAAGTGATATTTATATCTACACATCTAGTAATGTGATATTTATATCTACTCATCTAGAAATGTGATATTTATATCTGCACATCTAGAAAGTGATATTTATATCTACACATCTAGTAATGTGATATTTATATCTACTCATCTAGAAATGTGATATTTATATCTGCACATCTAGAAAGTGATATTTATATCTACTCATCTAGAAATGTGATATTTATATCTGCACATCTAGAAATGTGATATTTATATCTGCACATCTAGAAATGTGATATTTATATCTGCACATCTAGAAATGTGATATTTATATCTGCACATCTAGAAAAGTGATATTTATATCTGCACATCTAGAAATGTGATATTTATATCTGCACATCTAGAAAAGTGATATTTATATCTACTCATCTAGAAATGTGATATTTATATCTGCACATCTAGAAATGTGATATTTATATCTACTCATCTAGAAATGTGATATTTATATCTGCACATCTAGAAATGTGATATTTATGTTTGGGCTTCTAGAAATGTGATATTTATATCTGCACATCTAGAAATGTGATATTTATATCTACGTTTTGATAACCGTGATATTAATTCCTACAAGATCATATACACAACAAATATTCATTTCAATTGTTTCTAACAATCGATCCTTACAACTCAACGAATCCTGCTGTCCTATAAAGTTTTTTTTAATGGTGTTTGTCCATCACTGTCACTTGTGTCAATCAAATCTATCGAGGCTGTTGCAGTTGTAAAAAATGGACAGTCAGTCAAGTCTATCGAGGTTGTTGGAGTTTTAAAAAATGTACATCCAGCTAAAAAGTTAAAAATTTCCAAGTCTAAGAGAAGAAAGCTTGGGGGCTAAAAGCTAGACAACTTCTTACACTGTACACTACGTACCTGTTTTTACTTCAGTAGACAATAATTTTGATTCTTTCAACTTTATGTCTTAGTACTTATTTTTTTCAAAGACATCAGTAAATATTCAAACATGCTTTACAAATCACACACGTGTTAATTAGCCAAGTTTTATAAACATTCGTCTTTGATTAAACTACTCATAAGTTAAGCAAACCATATTGGTCTAAAAAAACTTCATTCAAGTGCACCGGCCTTCCGCAATTTCCACAATTAAGACAATTAATTAATAGCAAATTATTATGAATCGGAAATTTACATTATGTTTTTTAGTCAAATTGGTTACAAATGTTTATTCGGTTTTATTTTTCCGTTGCTCTTTGACATTAATCAAGCGTAATCAAATACCGAAGACATTAATTAAGTGTAATCAAATACCGAAGCCTCATTAAAAAAAATAAACGACGTACAAACCTTTGAATTTTAAAACGTGACTTCTGCTTTTCGCCGCGATACAGACGAGAAACACGACAATTTGTGCCAAGTTTTCCAGAAGATTGGGTTGTCTGCCAAGATAAACTTGGTACTGACGCCCAAATTTCTGACATGACCTGTCTTTTAATCCTAAATTTGATTGACAAGCCTAATTAGCAGCTTAATGAATGCCTACCTGACCAGCATCTTCATGCCACGTCCAGCGGGAGGTCTCAGGTTCCTGACGGCAGTTTGACAAACTAAGTTGACTTCAAGTCACGGACGGCAGTTTGACAAACTAAGTTGACTTCAAGTCACGGACGCAGTGACTTAAACACATTTCTCAAGAATCGATGACTGCTAAGTCAGGCCTGCGTGTGGGGAGTGAAATGTGTGTAATCCTGCAAGAATCAAGCCAAACACAGCCGAGATCACTGGGAAATGAGCACGAGTAATCGGCCTTGGTTGTGAGTTATCTCCCGTTGGCTGCAGAGGTGAGGGGAGGGAATTCAGCTCGCCAGTTCTGTAGCCATTGACCGCACGTTCGGTACAACAGGTTGGCAAGGGCAGACAAATACTGTCACGTGGCGGAAGCGGAAGAAAGGGTTCTCGCATCAACATCTCTCGCGCATGCGTACAGAAGAAGCCTTTCTTTTCAACTCCAATTTTCGTTTTGGCTATTAGCATATAATTACACCAGAAAAATTAAAAGCGGCCTTTTAATTTTAAAAAATCAAAGTCAATATTCAAACTTTCAAACCTTCTCAAAGAAATTGAGATTTAATGTGTTGTTCAATCGGAATTGGACAAAACTTAACACGGATATTTTTAGGTTTGATGCATCAAGTTTTTCTCTTGTAAGGGTAGGCTACTGTAGAAAAGACATTGGGTCGATAGATTGTACATCTGTAGGCGAGCAGATAACACCCTTTGTCTTGGTTGGTTGTGTTTCCTCGCGTCTCAGGTGATATTATGTACCCGTCACTGTTTACATCTGATATGATGTGTACAGTTACTATGTTGTATGTACGTTCAGTTGTTTGTGTATGTTGTAAATAGTCAAACAGCGTTTTATATGTTGTAGGTAGGCTCAGCTGTGTGTGGTGTATGTAGGCTCAGTTATGTATATGTTGTATACACCCTCACAGCGTTTTGTATGTAGTATGAAGGCTCAGCTATACACAACATAACGAATATAAAGGTCAGCAACAGGATCTGTTTCTATCATCCCACCCCACACATGTCCGTAGATTAACGTAGATTCCCGTCGTATCGTGGAGTTGACAGCTATTGACAGCTATAGAAGCGGGTTATCTAGGTGTACGTGTGTGGGAATCTGAAGATATCACAGATTATGTATGTGTACGCATGTTGGAGAGGATTACATACATTATGTACGCGTACATGTGTATTTTGAACCACATTTAACTAAGTGTCCGCCACAGAGTCTACCCCTCTATGCCCCGCCACAGACACAGTCTAACCCTCGATGCCCCCCCCCCCACAGTCTACCCCTCGATGCCCCGCCAGAGTCTACCCCTCGATGCCCCCCCCCCCTCACAGTCTATCCCTCGATGCCCCGAGACCCTCAGTCTTTATATTCTTGCTATTTTACAAACACAAATTTGTTGGCAGTCTAATAGTCTAACCCCATAGACAGGAGGGCGTGACCTCTCTAGACAGAAGGTCAAGACATGAAGGTTATCAAATAAACCCTCAGACATGAAGGAGAATGTGGCTACCCTCAGACATTGTGGCTACCCTCAGGACACGAAGGAGAGTGTGGCTACCCTCAGACATTGTGGCTACCCTCAGACACGAAGGAGAGTGTGGCTACCCTCATACATTGTGGCTACCCTAAGACATGAAGGAAAATGTGGCTACCCTCAGACATTGTGGCTACCCTCAGACATTGTGGCTACCCTCAGACATTGTGGCTACCCTCAGACATTGTGGCTACCCTCAGACATTGTGGCTACCCTCAGACATTGTGGCTACCCTCAGGACATGAAGGAGAGTGTGGCTACCCTCAGACATTGTGGCTACCCTCAGGAAATGAAGGAGAGTGTGGCTACCCTCAGACATTGTGGCTACCCTCAGACATTGTGGCTACCCTCATACATTGTGGCTACCCTCAGGACATGAAGGAGAATGTGGCTACCCTCATTGTGGCTACCCTCAGACATTGTGGCTACCCTCAGACATTGTGGCTACCCTCATACATTGTGGCTACCCTCAGACATTGTGGCTACCCTCAGGACATGAAGGAGAATGTGGCTACCCTCATTGTGGCTACCCTCAGACATTGTGGCTACCCTAAGACATTGTGGCTACCCTCAGACATGAAGGACAATATGATTATTTTCAGACCAGGATGTGGTTAAATATAAGCTACTTTAAGAAATACAAATTTCTAACATAGGCTACCCCAGACGTTGATACCCTAAAACTAAGACCCAGAGAAAAGTTGGACCTCACTCAAACTACCCTATCGCCAGTTGAGAGCCGGGGTCCATAGATATCTTTAGGCGTGAGTTCTATACAAGCGTCAGTTATCCTTGACAACTGAGCTGCTTTATGTCCAACGTTTAAATACGTCTGTGGTGGTGGTGGGGGGGGGGGGGGGGGCAGGAAGGTTATGTATATTCGTTGCGGGCAATTTTCAGGCATACAGTTCTAACAATTTACATTGCTTTAGCACACAAAGGGAGATGTATTACTCTAAAAAGTCGTCGGGAAAATTGCCGACAGACTAGCTGCCGACAGGATATAGGGCCGACCAACATACTATGTAGAGATGTTCTTGTAGCTTTAACATTTGTCCTTTTATTCACGTGTCCTGAATTTAACTTTTTAAAGACTTGCACGTTTGTTGGTGTTTAAATTCGATTAGCTGTTGTCTGCCTTTTTTTCAGATGGGCATTTGACACTACAGAAGTCAGCTTTAAGTGTACATGAGCTTCTGTCCACACGGCTTGCATCCGCTCCACAGCAAGCCACTTCGATCTATCGCTGTTTCTGTGGTTCATAATGTGATATGTGCTCTCTCTCTGTTATATAAATTACAAATAGTTCAAGTTGCTTTACACTCATGTGATTTACCACACGTGGCATTGATGCATAACCAGACTTGAGAAATGCAGAACAACCACCAACTGTAATGCCATCCCTAATTTCTATCCATTTTTAATGCGGTTTGTGTTGATGTTCTGAACTACATTCCCCTAGTTGTGTTATGTTCTGATCTATATTCCCCTAGTTGTGTTCATGATATGATCTATATTCCCTTAGTTGTGTTCATGTTCTAATCTATTCTATATTCCCTTAGTTGTGTTCATGTTCTAATCTATTCTATATTCCCTTAGTTGTGTTCATGTTCTAATCTATTCTATATTCCCTTAGTTGTGTTCATGTTCTAATCTATTCTATGTTCCCTTAGTTGTGGTCATGTTCTAATCTATTCTATATTCCCTTAGTTGTGTTCATGTTCTAATCTATTCTATATTCCCTTAGTTGTGTTCATGTTCTGATCTATTCTATATTCCCTTAGTTGTATTCATGTTCTGATCTACATTCCCCTAGTTGTATTCATGCCCTGATCTACATTCCCCTAGTTGTATTCATGCCCTGATCTATATTCCCTTAGTTGTGTTCATGTTCTGATCTATTCTGTATTCCCCTAGTTGTGTTCATGTTCAGACCTAAATTCCCCTCGTTGTGTTGATGCCCTGATCTACATTCCTCTAGTTGTTCTCAAGTTGCTTCAGTTGTCTAGTTGACGTCTTTCACCCCTGAACTTCCTTGCGACCTTTGACCTACGCCTCCGCCTTTACAAGAGATCAGATCAATACGCATGCGCCGTGCTACGATACATCACAATCTTCAGGACAACATGCTCCATCACGTGACGCCTGTTGGCCAATCAAAACATCACAAATCATCCAGGGGAAAGCGTCGCATCACGACGTAGCAGGTGACGTAACTCTTGTTTGGTCTCAGCTCTCCCTGAGTTAATCAGCCTTACTGCTGAGTGTGTCCTCCATTGTTTCTGACCTCATTAAAAACTATTTTTGTTTCCATTGAGACCCGGATGTCCTTCAACTCACACACACACACACACACGATATACACCGATTTGCTCGGCGGCCATCTTGTTTTCACCCCACTCTTTCTGCGAAATTAGGAAACGCAGGGTCATTTACAGAAGGGTTAATTTCTGTAACATCTTGTCCAATAGGGGTCATTTATAGAAGGGTTAATTTCTGTAACATGCTGTCCAATATGTTCACTTGCCTATTTAGTTTGACTGTAAAATAAACTGGGCTCGTCCATTCAAACTGTCTTGGTGTAGGTCTTCGCTTGTCCGACAGTTTTTGTTTGAATGTCAACTATCTGATCAGGAAATTGCCCATTCATCAATTGCATTACATTTTTTTTTAATAGATCAACTTTTATAAGAATTTATTTTATGAAAACAGAAAATTAACACTTACCTACACATACCCACACACACACACATCAGCTTACAGCCACTCACTCTACTCACACATACACACACACACATCGTCTCAATAAATATACCCACCCACTCCCAACTACCCTCTCTTTCATACCCACAAACACACATACCCACCCACATCCACACACACGCATATACCTTCCCCCTCACACATCAACCCACACACCTCCATATCCGCACACCCCACACGACTAATCATCACTCACGCTGCTAATGACATAACCATTCGTCTGGATTAACGTAACCTCATAAGCCTTGCACGTGCTGTGGAATTCCAGGCACGTGATCACACACGTGACCCAACAAGCTCATTAATTAACATTAACTCTGTATCTTCTGATATCCCGAAATCATGGCGGCAGTTTGTGCTGACCTCTGTCTCCACTTCCGGGTTTGGTTGTCATCCATCTTATCGTCAGCTTAAGGTACACCGGATATGTCTAGTGAGGACGGTGTGGTCTGGTGGTAGAGCGCTGGACTCAAAGGTCAAATGTCTGGAGTTCGGATCTTGGTTCGGACTGGAGGAAGTCCCTGAGTTAACCCAGCTCTGATGGGTACCTGACTCGTGTTGGAGAAAGTACAGGCGGCTGAGCATAGAGCTGGCCATACCGTCCCTTCAGGTCCCGAGGTCAAGAAACATATGAACTCTACTTATAGCGTGGGCTATATATCTAGTCCTTTTTTTTTTTTAATTCTTGTAAGATTCGGACTCATTTATTTTGTCACTATTGTTTGTGCGGATATCAAAACCTCAGCCAAACACCGTTAGAACCATATTAGGTAAAAGCTCCGCTAAGCTTAATCGCCATCATCTGAAACTTTCTTTGCATTTTCACGTGCATTTATTTATTTATTGTTAAACCATTTTTCTTTTAACATTTTATTTAGCCCATTAAGAGTGCAATTTTTCTCTCTTAATAAGCCAAATGAGTGCTGCCTTCCTTGATATCAGTACAGCCATACCATTAACAGAAACAATTTCATGTTCATGATTTTTTTTTAATTCTAAGGATGCCTGAAACGCTTTTAAATTTATTGAATTCAAATTTTTATTGTTGAAAATTATGCTTATATATATGTATAAGTATATATATATATATATATATATATATATATATAGATAGATAGATATAGATATATATAATATGTGTATGTGCGTGCGTGCGTGCATGGCACTCATGTAAAACTCATTTTAGTTTCATGACATTTCGAATTATAGGAACCAGCATAACGATTTTGCTTCTAACCCAAAATAACGAAAAAATAGAAGTATTTTAATTATTAGCAAAAACTGTTTACGTCATTTAAACATAGATCTAAATCATAAGAGAGAAGTAGAAGAAAGACTTCAGCCTTTAACGAACACATTCTCTTATCCAACATCTCTCATCAACTTTGTGTTGAAGAAAATGTTTTAGATAATATCGGGATTCTTATAACGTTGAGCTGAACGGTAGGGGTGTATGTGGTAATCCTTTGGAACTCAGAGCATATATATATATATATATATATATATATATATATATATATATATATATATATATATATATATATATATATATATATATATATATATATATATATATATATATATATATATGTATGTATACATATATATATATATATATATATATATATATATATATATATATATATATATATATATATATATATATATATATATATATATATATATATATATATATATATATAGTGAAATCGTAAAATTAAAAGATGAGCCTAAATATTTCTAAACTGTCTGGGTATTTGCAGGGTAAAATCTCGGTAAAAACTTAGGAGACCGAAAATTAGAAACCCAAATACAGCCCCACTGACCCCTAGCATCCACACTATAGAAGACCACAGTGAAGTCACGGTAACCCGACTTAGGTCTTTAGCATGATGCCGTTACTGGGTTAAAAAAAAAACGAACCTTAATTAACTTTTAAATTGAATACAAATGGCATGTATATAAACTATATAAATATTTATTTTTAAAATATTACACTTTTTGTATTCAGAACGTCGTGTTTTACTGATAAAAACTTAGACCGACCGAGCCTTGAACGATTTTTAAACCGGCTTTACTTTCCTAACTACATCAGACGTGCAAGGGCATAATGACACGACGCCGAAGGGAAGCAATCGTGATTGATTTATTAGTATTATTTTTATTGTTTCCCTTAAATTGCGTGGTTGGTTTTATTTTTCGTTTTATTTATTTATTTCTTGGTTTTTTTTTTTTTTTTTTTTTTTTTTTTCTTTTTTTCTTTTTTCTGTGATATGGATCTAAATGTTAATTAAAATGATTAAATGTTTACGAAATATGACGTGGCCAAAGAAAAAAAATAAAAGTTGAAATTAAGTGAGGTTACAAATCACATCTCTTGAATATCAAAACAAACACGTTTCCCATTGAGCGTGTGTGGTGTTTTTTTTTTCTCCGTATTTTAGACTAGGATTCTTGGCGGCTCGGAAAATATTGAATCGTGGCTAAAGCTTTAATCCATATTTTGAATAGTTTTTAGAAATGAAAATCAAACATTGTCACGAATGTCAGGTCAAAGTGAAAGTAGAGTCGTCTGCCGACATGTTCAGTCCGTTAAGTCTAGAGCCACGTACGAAGGTTGTTGGTTTTTGCTTTTTTACGATCCTGTCTAATTGTTATTGTCACTATCTCTAACAGGCAGTGGCGCAGGCAGGGGGGGGGGGGTTAGGGGGGGGGGGGGGGGGTCATAACCCCCCCCATAGACCCCTCGGTATATATAAAAAGTATGAGGGGGTGCAAATCGAAAGTTTGAGGGGGGGGGGGGGTGCAAATCGAAAGTTTGAGAGGGGGGGTGCAAATCGAAAGTTTGAGGGGGGGGGGGTGCAAATCGAAAGTTTGTCCCCGGGTAAAAATTGGAACCCCCCCCCCCCCCCTTGAGACGATCCTGGCTACGCCACTGCTAACAGGCAACACCCAACGAGCAAAATTTTACTGAAAATTTACTGTATTGAAATGACAACCATTGGTGCAGAGGCGTAGCGAGGGGGCGGACCGCACCGGGTGACTCCATTTAGGGGGTGACACCAAGGCCAAAAATAGCCAAATATATAGAGAAAAACTTTAGGGGGGGTGCAAATCGAAAGTTCGAGGGGGGGTACAAATCGAAAATTTGAGGGGGGGGGGGGTGCAAATCGAAAATTTGAAAGTTTGTCCCCGGGGAGGGGGGGGGGGTGACACCATTAAGTGCCGCACCGGGTGACACCCGAACTCGCTACGCCACTGCATTGGTGGCATTCGGAAGACGAAAAGGGTGGGAGGGGCAATCAGTAACTGGGTGGTGCTTTAATACTGTTGAGGTGTTCAGAAAACTGTAGAGGTGTTCAGAAAACTGAAGGGGTGTTCAGAAAACTGTAGAGGTGTTCAGAAAACTGTAGAGGTGTTCAGAAAACTGAAGGGGTGTTCAGAAAACTGTAGAGGTGTTCAGAGAACTGTAGAGGTGTTCAGAAAATTGTAGAGGTGTTCAGAGAACTGTAGAGTGTTCAGAAAACTGTAGAGGTGTTCAGAAAACTGTAGAGGTGTTCAGAAAATTCAGAGAACTGTAGAGGTGTTCAGAAAATTGTAGAGGTGTTCAGAAAATTGTAGAGGTGTTCAGAAAATTCAGAGAACTGTAGAGGTGTTCAGAAAATTGTAGAGGTGTTCAGAAAACTGTAGAGGTGTTCAGAAAACTGTAGAGGTGTTCAGAAAATTCAGAGAACTGTAGAGGTGTTCAGAAAATTGTAGAGGTGTTCAGAAAATTGTAGAGGTGTTCAGAAAATTGTAGAGGTGTTCAGAAAATTGTAGAGGTGTTCAGAAAACTGTAGAGGTGTTCAGAAAACTGTTGAGGTGTTCAGAAAACTGTAGAGGTGTTCACAAAATTGTAGAGGTGTTCAGAAAATTGTAGAGGTGTTCAGAAAACTGTAGCGGTGTTAAGAAAACTGTAGAGGCGTAAGTCATTAAAATGTTGTGACGTCATTTGGCGACCCCATCACCTTAACGAGACTGTACTTTGCTGCATTAACAGGCCGACACCCTGAAGCACACAATGTAATGTTGGAAAACTGTAATTAGTGTTTAGTCTTGTTATGAGAAGGGACACCCCTTCCAGCCCCCCCCCCCCCCCCCCCAAAGACTTTAGCGACTGACGCGGGCTATAAATAAACATTCCTTCTACTAATTATTGTACTTGAGATTGAGAAGAGCTGTTTTTTTGTGGCCTTGGGCCGGTACTCCCTTCTTTTATTTTGAAGTTAGCTTTGGTTACTAAATGTGTGGAGCCGTGGGAGTGGATTAGATATTTGAACGGATCTTGTAGTCAGCCTTGCTAGTGGGGAGGGGATGAGTGTCTAACGTGGGTCTAGGGAGAAATGGGGGGGGGGGGGGAACCTGTGGTGGGTGGTCGAACGACTGATGATAAATGACGTCATACTCTATCATTTTAATGACCTTCAAGTGCGTAGTTCTTAATTGAACCATATCAATTTGTCTTAGAGTTAGGACACATTTTTTTAGTCCGGACACATTTTTTTGTGAGGACACATTTTCAAAAGTCGGGACACATTGTTTATAATAGACGGCAAACAACAAGTCAATTTTTTAAACTTTACTTCCAAAAAGCATAGGTATAAAAAAAAATGACACCGGATCAAAAGTGTAACACTCTAGTGTAATCCTAATTATAACAATTTTATTCTATAGACAACACTTGTTTAACACAATATTAATGCATGTGTGCGAATAGCTACATTTTTGGATGCATAAGAAAAAAATTAAAAAACATTTTTTATAAATAAATTAAGGGAAGATAACTGTTTAAAAAATGACCCGTAAATTATATTCTTCATGACTATGAAAATAGACTAAATCACTAATTTGTATATAAGTAGTATACACTGTTTGTTAACTAAATAGGTAATGCCATTAAATAATACCAATCAACTGAAGAATGGAAAATCCTACTAAGTAAGCAGATGTATTTGGAACTTGACAATTTTTAGTACTTGACAATTTAGTGCCCATATAAAGACCAAGAATCTTTTCTTTTTTTTTTTTTGCTGTCAGAAGAAAATAATCTCTAAGTTTAAACCTCACTCCTTTAAACGGAGTCAGATTTACTATAAGTAGGTCAGTCTTTGTAATGTTGGCCACACACATCAGTCAGCTGTAGCCCCAATAAGGCTATTCCCAGATGGTTCAATATGGCTATTCCCAGACGGTTCAATATGACTATTCCTAGCTGACTGGGAACAGCCTTGACCTTTGCAAAAAGGGGTCGCCACCCAAAAAAGTTTGGGAATGTTTAAACTAGTCTAATATTTCAGTATATAATACACCTGTTTCAATGGTAAATGATAATATTAAAAAACAAAAGACTAAATTATAGCTCCAGTCTTTCATGTTAATAAAAGCCTCTGTGCTTATTGCTCTAGCAGCACTTAAATCATGAGCAGTGGTACAAAAATGTAATTGTTGAATTCACTCTCCAAATGTTTTAAGTGAATCAACCCATCTCTTTATAACAAGAGACAAATTTCTTCCTCTCTCTCTCAAATAATGATAGAATTTTAAGTTATTGAATTCACTCTCCAAATATTTTAAGTGACTGAACCCATCTCTTTATAACAAGAGACCATTACCTTCCTCTTTAAAACAAGAGGAAAAAAATTTCATTATGGTAAAAGTTTCTAGAAAAATATTTTTTTTTGTTTATGAAAAAGTTACTGTACTTTTATTACAGCGAAGAAGTTTAATAGAAAAATACCCTGTGTAATATACTGCAAAGTTAATTTGAACTGTAACAATGAGCATTCATCACATGTTCAGATGTTCAGTTGAAGGGCTTACTCTAACAGAAAAAGGAAAAGAAGACAAAAAGAAAGCAAGTTGCTACAAATGTTTAAAATTTAAGACAAAAAAATTAAATTATGAAGAAAGTGGCATCAGATTAGGAAATACACTAGTACCTATATTTGTGTTAATCATTTCAAACCTATTCATTACAAAATGGGCATTTATGGTGGTTGTTTTTTTTTTTTAAATAATTTAAAAAAAAAAAAACAATAGTTGTTAGAAAATTAAAATAATTAATTATGCAAGTAAACTGTTTTGCTTGGGGTAGTTAGATTTAACAAACCAACTGCAGCAAACATGGTTGGCTCCCCTGGTGCCAAGATTTAATTGTTTCTATTATTTTTTAAATTTACCAGCTGTAAGAGAGAGTTGCTTAACAAGTGTTTTTTTTTTTTTAGATTTCTTGGATTGTGTTATTAAAAAATGAAAGGAATGTTTGTAATAAATAAAAACTAGCCATTATTGAGAAAACATGTGCAGGTGACATCAAAAGGACGAAAAATATATTGAGACAATTCTATAAAATATCAATGTATCAAATTAAGCTTTATAACAAAGTAATACAGAACCATTGTGTAAGTGAAAAAAAATGTATGAACAAGGTATTTATAAATACATTTGTCAATATTTGGGACTTAAGTAAAGTATTCATAAAATAGATTATAACTAGGGAGTTCAAACAATATTTTCATCAAACTGATGAAAAATATACACCATTATGATTTCAAGTTAGCATCTTGACAAGCAAAGAGAGAAATTAACATAAATAAAACAACAAGTGTATCAAAAAACTGAATTTCTAAGCTTTTCAACTAGAAAAACCAAGACAGTGAAACAAAATAAAATTCCAACAGTTTTTAAAAAAAATTTCACCACAAGCATGGAGTTTTTAAATAAATAAAATAACAAAAATTAAAATGCCATTACCATTTGTTAACAAGGAAGCAACAAAAATTGCTATAAAAACTAATCTTTTTTTATTGCTGAACAAAAGTTTAAGGTCTGCAACTGAGTTATAGAAACAAATAAGGATCTGCACTAGAACCTTTTAGACCTGCTGACAAGCATGAAAACTATAGCAAGATGGTAAAGGTGACATCAGCGTGTCTGCTAAAATAAAGTATATACACATTTGATTGTCTTGTATTTAATGACTGGTAAAAAAAAACATTTATCTAGAAGTAAAAAGCTAAGCTTAAAAAACTTAACTCTGCCTAACAGAGAATAACAAGTGTTCAAAACATTGCTTAGGAGCATTTATGCTTATAACTACTTCTCAATCAATTTCATCCTTTTATTTTCAATTAGGCCAATATCAACATTATTATGCAATCAATCTTGAATGATTTGCCAGATTGAAATGATTTTAGATTTGATTTAAATTTCAAAGAAAATGACTAGTTTTTCTCAAGTACCAGGAAGGACCTACAAAGCTTGCTTCACTTCTTTTGAACTCTTTCCCACGCTTCGTTTGATTTTGACTTCATCAGATTTAGTCAGACCCACACTTGTCAAGAACCTGAGCACTGCCTCCACATACTCATCTGGGTGGCGGTGGAAGTGGCTGACATGTGGGGAGCTGTCCCAGCACCGCGCCATCACTGGAATACCTGCTGACCTCCACTTTTTCATCACCTTAAAGATTGTCACAAAAAACACTGAGTCAGTAACACCGTAAAGACTGTCACAAAATACATTGAGACAGTAGCACCTTAAAGATTGTCACAAAATACATTGAGTCAGTTTTAAAGCCACCTAACACCTTAAAGATTTGTCACAAAAAATGATGAGTCAGTTTTTAAGCCACCTAACACCTTAAAGATTTGTCACAAAAAACAATGATTCAGTTTTAAAGCCACCTAACACCTTAAAGATTGTCACAAAAAACATTCAGCTAGATCTAAAAATCTAATCTTAAAACTAGAGCAAGGTCAAAATAAATTATTTTTATCTAACCCAGTTCAAAAGTTAACTTTGGCTTTTGTCATACGATTTAAGATAACTTTTCTTCAGGAATGCTGGGACTTTTAATTCAACTTAAAATCAAATGGCAAAGGTGTGCTCCGGTGACCTTGGAAGAGCAAAGGTGTGCTCCAGTGACCTTGTAGAGTCACGTACCTCTGATAACTTTATCTAGCACCTCACCAGTGCTTCACCTGACCTACATTTCAACTGATTACATAAAGTTCATGATGATCACTCAGTGACTAAAACTATCAATGAAGATAACAGACCAAGCACTTCATTTTCATTGTCATAAAACACCCTAATAGCAACTAGGCACCAGAATTTGAATCTTTTAATTTTTTAACTGAAAACAATAAATTGCAAATAAAGATTATTTGTGTAGAAGTAGAAGACAATGTCTCTTAATCCATGTAATATCTATTTGCAACAATAAAGTGTGAAAATACAGGCACCTGTACCATTGTGTACAACTTACCAGCTCTATCCTGGTGTCCACTCCAATGGGATCTGTTCTTGAGTAGAGCATCAACGATGGTAAACGTAATTCATTGTTATGAAAAGCGTTGGAAGACCGTATGTAGTGGGTGGTGACTTGTTTCTTAAAAATGTCCAAGTATGTCTCCAGTGATGTTTTTATCAGTTTCTGGCCAAGTTTATTCTTTACAAGCACGGAGGAAAATCCAGATGGGACACCTTCAAAATCTACAGGACTGTCAAAAATCTGGCCAACCAATCTGTTCCTGACGCTCTGGTATCTGTCCAGGTTCTGTCCCAGCTTGACCAACAGCTCACCGTACATGTAGCCTCCCACTGAAAAACCGTGGACCATCAGTGGCTTCTGGGAGAGGCTGTTGTCTTCCAGGATAGATAACAGCTCCCCCACTGTTTTCTGGGCTCTTGTGGGTATTAAAACCTGAGTAGGCTTCATCTGGTGATTAAATATCTTTATTTTAAAAAATGTGGTTGTTTGTATCAATGTACACATAAAAAATAAGGTAAAATAAAAATGTAATTTTAGTAACATCTGAAGGTAACAACAATATGGCACTAAAAGGACCTAAAAGTGAGCCAAGTGTACAAGGGAGGATCTACAAGTCAAAATTCAGGCTGAGGGGGGTGATGGGTGGATTTCAGGCCCATGTTAATGTCCATATGTTAAATTTAACAATAATTTAATGATATGTTAGAACAAACACTTAACCTGCACACAAAAAGTATCAAGTTAAAGTGGAGAGTTCAAATTTCTAAAAAAAAAAACCTAACTCAGCTGGTAAGTAAATCTCAGTAGCTAAATTTATAAAATCATCAAACTTATGTGGCCAACGACAACAGAAAAGACAGCTTTAAAAAAATATCCTCACAACAAAAAATAATTTAATAAAATATTTGCTATTATGAATCAGTTATTTAAATATACAAAAGTAAGCATTAAATCACATTCCAGGATCAAGCCATTCCTTACCTGTACACTGAGGACATCAAAGCCTTTGCTGTGATAGAGATTGCCATACTTGTCTAAGTGTCTCTGTTTGGCCAGCATCCAGCCAAACAACAACACCAGGGGCCTTGGAGACGCAGAGAACTCCTGGATGGTCTTCAGCTGGATATTTTGGTTGATCTTTTCTGTTTTTAATGGAGGCAAACTGCTTTCCTTTCGTAATATCAATGCAAAGAGTGGTGTCTAGAAAATACAATGAAACATTTGTTGAAACAAAGGTTAATGTTAACAAGAAAACATTTCCTCTGCATTCTTCACACAAAAAATTATTGGATAAATATTACAAAATGTTGCTTCTCTCATAAATCATAGTGCAAATAGGAAAACCAACTAAACATTACATTAAATGTAAATGAAATCATGTAGGGTTTTATTTATTTTTAAAAAATTAAAAATGGCCTATAGCTATTTAAGACTAAACTTCTATATTATTTGATACTGGAATTTTCTTTTTTAATAGATTCTAGTGATAACTCATCTGAAAATAAAATAGAGGCCCAAACAGTTTTATTAATTTATTATATTGCTAACTTCTGGGTTTATTTTTTTAATATTGGTTATGCCCCTTTACCTAATGCTAGAATTAGAAATAGCTAAAACAGATATAAAAATATGATTATAGATGGTTAATTTTTAAACACCTTATTTAAAAAGGTCGCTTGAGATCTGGCAGCAGAGTTCATATTTCTCAAAACAACTGAAGACATTTTGCTTTTTCGTTCTTAATTCTGTAGAAGAAAATCAATCTAATAAAACATAAGCCTGATGGCTAATATGTAAAATTTATTAAATTAAAATTGTAAACTCTCTTTATTTAATTTTACCCTGTTTCAACAATCAAAATTCTTATTCAAAATATCTTTATAATTACCTTAACAATTATTACAGCAAAAGCATAATATCATTTTTAAGTAAGCCTGATTAAATATATATAGGCAAATTTTAATTTTAGTTGCATAGGCCTGTAAACCAATTTAAGCTATGATCATTCTCTTCAAAGTGTAGAACTGTTATTAATGTTTCATCCAATTTTTAGACAGTACTTTTCTTCATATGCTCTGCTATAAAACTAGTAATGTAGGTAAACCCCTGCTCCAATAAATATGATCAAAGAAAAATAGCAAAGGTATTGTTTACATTTAAATAACTCTGTTTCAGAAAACAAGGACACACGTCTAAAAATATAACATTGGTAAAGCATTGATGAAAGCCTAAAATATTTCATCAGACTTTCTTCTAACCCTGCGGCAATGCTCGGGGGGGGGGGGGGGGGGGGGGTGGGGGGGGGCACCCTAGTATAAAATACTGAATATTAATGAATAATATTAAACTTTCTGTTTCTAGGCCAGTGGTTCTTAACCTGGGTACAGTGAGTCAGTCTCAGGTGTTTGATACAAGTCAAGACACACGCCTGACTCAAATGATTTGCGATCGGATTTTGTCAGTGTGAATGATGCCAATTCGAATACGACACTCAGATAACCCATGACATCATGACACACATACATTATGAATCATGCCAATGCCACCTATACAGGTGCACGTTGATTGTGTATATATGGGCAGTGAGGAACATACTTTTAATTTCTGTTTGGTGTCCCTATTAGTATTAGTCTACTTGTAACTGCTGTGATGGCATGTCATGTGATTTCTTTCTCTATATTTTGATCCCTGCAAACTATGTCAAGCAAAAAAAGAAAGTGGTCGGCGAATATGTACGATACGGATTCACATGTATAATGGAACTTGATGGGAGTCAGTGTCCTAACTAGGCAGCATGATTTGAAATGCCAAGTTGAGCAATTTATTCTAGCAACAGCAAAACTAAGAGAACACTTCTTTTAGCTGCATGGAGATGGAAATTAGAAAAACAAAGCTAATTGAATTCAATGTAAAGCAGTGCATTTCTGAACTGGTCTGAAAAGCAACAGCAGATCACTTTTGTGCACCTGTAAAATATATAACTATTTTCTTATTTGGAAAAATAAGCAATATTTTTTTTTCTATTAAGAGTTTGGTGAAAGTGTATATGAAGCTGGTGGGGTTCAATACCTCAAAAAATGTTAAGAACCACTGTTCTAGTCCCTATAGAGACTTAATCTACTGCACTAGAATGATATTTTTATCCATGTCAACAATAATGATGGAAGGACTTTCATCAACTGGTTCATGTCTCTTGAAAATCAGTATCAAACTAGATTTACATTCAACATATTGCACATGGACTCTAAAACAGGAGTGTTGATAATTTTTTAAGTAGTTAGTTAGTAGGCCTAATAAATTAACGTTAAAAAAAATAAATAAATAATATATCTAGGACTTAAATAAAAAATCTAATTAAATAGATAGGCCTATAAATAATAAATACTAATAAATAGGCCTAGTTGTAAGGTATTTATTAAATAAGCCTACTTAATAGTTTATAATGTTGGTAGATTTATTTAGTCTCTAACTTAGCCACAACTTTCAAGTCATGAATTTCAACACGTGAATAGGGTAGGGCCTGGTAAAAAAGAAATTTTTTAATGCGCATGTTTTATTCTATTTACTAGTATTTAGGGCCTATAACTAGATTTTAGTATAACTTAGCAAAATGAAAATGTGTGTATGGAGGGTGGGATAATATTTTAATAATCATATAATAGACCGTAATATTATGGCTAATTACATTTACTGTAATATGAAAACTATAGGGCATAAGGCTTAGGCCTAAATATTAAAATTAAAAAAAAATTGTTTGTTGAATAAAATTAAAAATAACTTTTGTTAGAGGCCTAAAAACTAAATAAATGACATTAAATCACTAAATTAACTAAATTATTAATTAAATCATCATGTCATCATGTGAAAGATCAGATGTCTAGATCTAGATACTAGATCTACAAGATAGATTAGATCATTAGTATTAGATAGTAAAACAGTAATCTATCGTTTTGGGTACGTAAAATCGCCCGCGGCTAGTAATGTATAAAAAAGTTACCTCATTGTCAAGGCTTAAATAGAAGTATATTGTGATATATTTGTGTCAAATATTGTAATTGTAGATAAATGAATAATAAACCTAAATCAATGGCAAATATATCAATATGGGTCAGAAATTAACTTTAAACAGCAGTGTTTGCGAGCAAGATTTGCTATAGAAACAGCAACCATTTGTAAAATAGAGTGGCTTCCCCCTGAATCACGCTCTTTAAGTTTACCGAAAAAACTTAAACAAGATGGCTGCTATAGTAAATGAGAATGGTTGCATCTGTTGGAAACATCGCTGAATCGCTAGTCTTCATTTATTACTGAAAAGTTATAATTCAATTGTTTAAAAACAGGTACATAAATGTGATTAAATGAAACAAGGAAACATTTTTGTATTTTTCAAAATATAAATCCTCCTCAAAATGTGAAATAATTATTAAAATGTAAGGAGTAACCTGTTTTTCACATTACTAGATCTAGTCGCGGGCGAATTTACGTACCCAGAACGATAGATTACCACTACAGTAAAACTTTCAGTTACTTAATACTTAGAGACAGAGATTCTAGATCTGCACCTTTAAATTTTAATTGAAGACCTTAGTGCTAAAAGTACTTAAGGATAAGCACCACGGATAAAAATTTTTTTTTTATTTAACACATTTCTGGATGTTTAATAAGTTCATATAATTATAGTTGTTAAACTATAGACAAAAATAATATATAGCCGTCAATAGCAGTACTGGTTGCCATGGAAACAGCGAAAAGGTGTGAAAACTAACACCTTTTCAAATCGCTAAGGCTTTGTTCCCATAAGAGATTTTAACAAACGGATGAAAGATTTAGATTTCTCAAACCAAACTATACATTTCTACGTTTACTCATTGCGATAGCTTGTACTCAATTTTTTATACACATTTTTACGTAAATTTATGTACAAAAATTAGGGGGTGGTGTTACAAAAATATCAATATTTCCTTAAGTATTGTAGTAAACTTAATGTACAAACGTAATTTTGTAGATTGTATAATGCTGAACGCACGTGGAATGTTTTATTCTTGTATGACAAAGGGTTCCAAAGCCTTAGCGATTTGAATGTCGAATTTTGAGTAAAAATGCAAAGTTGAGAAAACGTGAAAAGAAGAGCGGGAAAAGGCGCGGTGCGTTTTCTCTTATAGAAAACAGAAAAAAACGTCTTGTTATATGTGGAAGAACCATTTGTCTAATAAAATACGCTTTGATTTATGTTGTAAGCTTTAGATAGATTTTTTCTATGTAAGCAGAAAATATGTATACAACAGGTAATGAATGTATGACTATTAAGTATTACACATCCTATCAATCTAGCGGTATTCTCAGAACAGCTATCATCAAACCAGATAAAGTTTTGTTTGTTAGCCGGTCTTCTCACTTCAAAACAATGTCTTTCTCTACTCAAATTGTAGCTTACACAAGTTTATTGCCTTATGATAATAGCCTACAATACAACACTGGGTACAACGCTTGAGGCTAGACACGCCCCTCCACCCCACCCCACCGCTGGATAGTGCGTGAGGAACCGATGAGCCATAGATTACCAATGTTCATTCAACCGTGAATAACACATCTGTGTAGATAGGGTCAAGTACAGGGCCTAAGTGAATGCTTCCCAGCTATCCTATCTACTACTATTTAGTATTTACATTCGTTGCTAGCACACCCTATACCGAGAGATGGGCATACACATTAACACATGTGTCGTATACAGTCTGGTGTAAAGCCTGATGAACGCGTTCAAGCTTATCACAGCATGCCGTAACAAGATTATAAACCGGCCGTTGGTTGAATGGCGAGAAGGGAATGAAGGGGGTAAAGGGGATGGACAGTACATTCTTCAAACTGATAGTCATGTCCATGACGCATTGTTTCAGCTTAGTATAATTTTAAAGCGTACGCAACAGTGTTTAATATTGTTCAAGTGATAATCAACAGTACATTTCTAGGCAAAGTTTCAATTATTAAACTTAATGTTGTTGTATAACTTTAAAACAACAAATAGAAGAGTATACGCAAATGAGGTAAACAAACGAGACAGGCGATTGTTTTGTTTATCTAGAAACAAGATGGCTGCCTAGCACACGTGGTTAGTTGCAGCCTATCGTGAATTATTTTGATTTTCTGTACTATAATATGATTGGTCAAGCGTATCAATGAACCTCTTCCCATTCATAAATTTTACGCGCATGCCCTTATATGGAGTTTAATATAAAAATTTACTTTGTAGAAAACAACTTCTATCCTAATTATTTTTAGAACAAAAGAAAAGGTCACTACACCAGCGGGTACACGAGTGCTTGGCCCTTAGATTGCTGTAAAGTTTATGGTGCCTCGCGGGCAATAAATGATGTAATACCCGCTCGAAGATAGCCGCTGTCCGCGTAGTAGTGTGAAAACTTGCCGGGGGGTACCATGTTTCACATCGCAATAAACGGATAACCGTAAGCTGTAGAAGTCCGAAATGTTCGGGTTAGATAGATAAAAGGTATTAGTATCGAATTAAGAAATAAAAATTTTGGGTAGCAAAATTAACATTTTATCGAAAACATGGGTATCTTGTTCCCTTAAGTCACAAAAACAACATTTTGAGAAAAATGAGTTCAAAGATTAAAATTTACTATGAAACATTACGTTTTTATATTATTTGTTTGTTTGGAAGAGCAAATTAAATAAATTCTTCAATATCACTATTTGTTTATAAGATAAAGTTAAACTAGAGGAATAACGATCAATGCTTGGTTTGATTTTCACAAAAATGTGACTTAAGTACTTTTAGCACTGGGCTCTTCAATTTAAACTTGAAGTCCATTAACAAAGCATTTCAGGTTTAAACAGCAAAACGACTATGGATCTACAAATGACACCAGTGATACTGGCAGTTGCCAAATTAATTTCTTTTAATCATAATATTATTATTATAGGCTATAGAATCTATAGATCTACCGTGTTAATAATTTTATAACAATGCCATCAACGGGTTGTTTACCTGGTTTCTTTCACGCAGCAATGCCAGATCAAACTTATCATTAATAGATTGCAAGATTAGAACAGCCTTTACAAAACATCATTTTTCGAATTCAGACGGCTTGCCTACTAACATTGAAGTTAATATTTAAGTCAAGTTTTACATAAATATAATGGCTGTGGTGGGTCGATACAGCAGGTTGTTTTTTTTTTTAATTGTTTGATTTATAGATCTATATGGAATGAAGTGAAATCAGTACTCTACGCTTTGGGAAACGATGTGGTGTATAGCCTAGAGTCTATAAAGTTTACTTTTAACTCAACTAATCTATAGATCTACAGGAAATGGAGTTATAGAAAACAATCTGTATTTTATACTTACTGTGGACCCCAATATGATTAACCGAATTATCAGATTAAAATGTACTCTTTTCCCTTTATCTAACCTGCCAGTATGGCAAGCATACCGCAAACAGAGCTTAAAAAAGATAAGTTTGTGTCACACTAGAAAAAGGACCAATAAGAATTGTGTACTAGTAACCTCTGACCCATCGGAAGTGAAAGTCGTTTCTAGCAAACAAAATTTTGGAAGGCGCTAGGCTAAATGGAATGTGACTGTTAATGACACAACTGAATAAATCTAAGCTAGTTCTGAAGCTAACTTAAATTACAAGTATCTGAGAGGCTAGCTTCTTCGGTTGAGTAGAACTCGATCATCCATGGCAAAAATCAAAATAAATTTTGTGAACAAAACAAAAATACAACCCAAGGTCCCACCGAGATTTGAACTCGGATCGCTGGATTCAAAGTCCAGAGTGCTAACCATTACACCATGGGACCGCGTTACGATTCGGAACGACTGAAACAAGTAGCTTGTATAGTCTTTTTGGCCTAGTTATAAGTTGTTAGAATCTAGACTACCTACCTAGTAGATACTGCACGTGATTCTGATTACTTTTTATTTTCCTGTAGAGCTAGAGGCTAGATTCAATTCATTTTTAACAGATTAAAGCACTGATCTGTAATTAAAATCTAGGCTGAATTAGTGGGCCTCTATTATTATAGCATACAATAATTACATTTGAATGCATTACGATATAATATTAATTTTATAGGCCTATTAATATTATTATCGGCCTATATAATCTTTCTATATACTATCCTAATATATAAAACCCCACGTTCGCACATCTCTCTCTCTCTCTCTCTCTCTCTCTGTCTGTCCGCAAAATATTTTCGCCGGACATCACGTCAGAATCGGCAGCGATATATAAAGAACTTTTTACGGACTTTCGTTGAAAATAATATGTTAGATGTTTTAAATGTATAACCACAATTTTATTTAAAGAAGAAAAATAAAGGCGTATTCGAATATAGAGAAACAGTATTATTTATGCAACCGGAAAAGTGTATAAACTTGGGACAAGAACACATTTATCAATGACGTCGCTTATTGTTTACACTAAAACACTAAAACAAGAGCACGAAACTGATGACGTCATCTTCCGAGTTTAGAATTTTTAAAAATGAACTATTTCATTCAAATATGATTTAGAGCCAGTAGCGTACGCAGGGGGGAGCAGGGGGAGCGGCCGCTCCCCCTCTGGCCATTTTCAGCAAAGTGGCGCCTTTTTGGAAACTTTTTAAACTCAAAGTTTTAAACAATGATATTCGTTAAAAAAAAATATTTTTGGCCGGCACATCTATGTAAATCACAAGATTTCTTTTCATGCAGCAATTAAAGCATTATTGTACTAGTCTAGTAGTGTCTACGTTTACAACACGTATTAACAGCTGCATCAGTTTGCCATTCTAAAAATAACCATTACGATGCATTGCAATATTTAAAAAGCCTCTGCGGGTAGTACCACTTGGCAAGAGGGGTTTTAAGTTTAAGGCAACTGTATAATGTGGTGAACGGAAAAAAGTCACAGGAAAAAAAAACACAGAAAAAAAGTCACGGTTTTTGCTAGGAAAAAAAGTCACAGAAAAAAAGTCACAATGGAAAATTTTTATCGGAAAAAAGTCACAGAAATAAAGTCACAGAAAAAAAGTCACAAAAATATTTTTAGAAATATTTTGATTTATTTGTTAAGAATTGTAAAATTGTGTATGTTTATTACTGTGGGTTGCATTTTTTGATAGCATAAATTATTTATAGACGTTAAAGGCATTATAGTTTATAACAATTGTTAGTAAAAACACTCTAAGATAATTTACACAAAAATCTCAACTTTTGTTACGTATTTAGTTGAATACGCGGTAGAAAAGTTAATTGTGTTTTGCATATATTTTGCCGTGGGCTATTCTCTGGCCGACCTCTCCTCAGTAGGCATTGTCCGAAAGTATTGTGTATTGTGGACGTTTTGTGTCAATGAGAGCCTTTGAACCTTGTTGGCTTTCTGTTTTGATCCTAAGTTTTGTTATGTAATGAGCGTGGCAAATGTGGGCAGTAAAGGTGGTTGAACTAATCATAACTATTGTTGCGATGAGTTGAGGGCGGCAAAGCAGATGAACTTACCATTTCACGGTAATTTAGTGTTGGTATTAAAAAAAAAAAACACGATGAAAACCGTGGACTTTGGAGCATTCTATTAAATGCTATTAATATTATGTTTAACATAATTACAATTCATACTTAATACTTTTGGATGAATTATAAAAATTAATATGCGTATACAACCTGCACAGATTACATTACATTTAATTAATCCTGTTAATTTGCACTCTCTGAATATTTAATTAATACATAAAAGTATTAACAAATTCCATGCAAATATATATTTGTGACTTTTTTTCCTGTGACATTTTTTCTGTGTTTTTTTTCCTGTGTTTGTTTTCCTAATTGAATTAGAAAATGTTATACATAAAACTTCACACATAATTACTTTATATATACAGTTTGAATCGTGTGATTAATTTTAAAAAATGCAATACAGAAACAAATACAACTGATGTGGCATCTCTATTTAAATTTACTTATGAGCAAACTGCGTAGTGGTGGGGAAATTTTGACAAGGGCAACAACGTCATCACGATGAAGTAGTAGTATTCTTACAGTTTGGGCGATAGTGATTACGATTACAAATTATATGAAACAGTTACAACCCCCCTCCCCCATGGACCCCTCTGTAAAAAAAATATTGTCATAATACCACTGCTACTTATTTACATCTATTTCTATAATATATATTTGTGTAATATATATTTGTGTAATATATATGTATGTTTAGAACAGTCATCTAAAAACTGACGCTATGTTCACTCTGAGTTGGTTATCTCTCCCCCCCCCCCCCCCCCCCCACACACACACCTCACCACCACTATTGTGTAGAGCGACATTAATGTCACACCTAGGTATACACTGGGTTGGATAATTGACCTAAAGTGACCGGACAGTAAAAAGGTGTGTGAGCAATACAGAGATCTAACCCATACCTATCGCTATGTTAAAAATGATCTTTAAAGAACACAAAGAAGCAGTAGTTAATTAAAAAAAAACATATGATCTGAACTAAACAGACCGTTTTTTAATAAATGTAGGTTGTTATTCAGAATGCTTTTCTATAATATGGAAAAGCTTGGTTTTATACCAACTCTGATTTTAAAAACTTTCATTATGCTGTAATACTTTAGCATTTATGATGACGATATATTAAATTCTGATTATAGACAAAAACATTTTGTAAACACGAATAGTGTTAAACAATTTCATTATATTCTAAAGTAATTATTAATTTGTTTTGACATTTATAATTAAATGTGTAGATATGTACATATTTATATTAAGAGAGTGATTATTTCCCCTATTTCACTTGTCTTAAATAATTTCCCAGGAATTATTATGTAAGAAATTTTTTTTTACAAGAATTACAAAACAGATTGTGTTACGTTCGTTGTTTTTGGTTATAGTGTGTGTATATTTTTTTTGTCTAGATTGATACAATTTTTTTTTGTCGGCCTACATTGTGTGTTTTTTCTTATTTCTTCAGAGTGCTACTTTCAATTTATTTTACATCATAGCGAAGTAATGACATACAGCTAGTAATGACATACTAGTAATTATATATATATATATATATATATATATATATATATATATATATATATATATATATATATATATATATATATATATATATATATATATATATATATATATATATATATATATATATATATATATATATATATATAATACACGTATATAGAACGTGTTAAAAATTCGGCGCCTTTTTTTGCTCTTTTCGCTCCCCCTACAACGAAAACCTGGATACGCCTCTGTTTAGAGCTATGTACGCTATGAAATGTATACAACACGATTTTCTCGGCCTAAACTTAAAAAAAATTATTTTATCTATTTGGATTCTAGATCTAGAGATTCTAGATCTAGATATTGATCTAGATCTAGATGTTCTAGATCATCTAGATCTAGAAATTCTAGATCTAGATGATCTATAAAGCTAAGTTGTCGGGTGCCCGATAGGGCACTTCCCGGCGCCGCAGGCGCTTCAAATTTGGCAGGATCTTGCCTTGGGGCGACAGAACACGGGGGCCGGTTGGCCGAAAAGTCTACGATGAGGGGGTCAAAACTTACCTCGACTGACCGGCGCCTTATATGGGCGAATTAATTAAGCATTCAAATTCTCAATGTTTTCGAAAGCCTAAGCGAAGCTGGGCAGCATGCCTAGTATATTATAGAATATACTACTCAATCAATATAGGCCTATGGTCCGTATATGTCTACTAGGCTAGATCTATTCTATAAATCTATTAACCGTTTTAATTTATCAAGATAGTTATTTCATGGCTTTAAAAAAACCAATAACTCTTGTTTTACGCATAGGCATAGGTACAATCTAGGATAAACAGGATAATATTTATTTGATTGATTTATTTGATAGGACTTTACAATCTACACAGTGGGCCCCTAAGCAGATTTTTTGTTTTTTTATTAAGGTCATTTTAGGCCTAATTAAAAGTAATTAATGAGGCTTAGGCATAATTCTATTAAAATTGCTATCTAGCAAGTGTCATGAGGACTGGGACGCACTCAAGTTAAAAGTTTATTTTCCTCCAAAG